ATTTATGGATTAAAAGGAAACGAAATAAGGGAAAAAATAAAGAAACAAAAGAAAAAATGAAGAAATAAGCAAAAAAAATAAATACTAAAACAAAAATAAAAACATGAAAAAAAAAAGGAAAAACCTAAGAAAGAAAGCAAATCAATAGAAGAACTCAGGGAAGCTTCTAAAATGTTCCCAAAACCGGTTGCTCACTTGAAGTGGGACGGCCCTTGTTGCGTCTATCGCTCGCTTCACTTTAGCAAAGCCGCGACGGTTTGACACTTAGGGCAACTCCAACGCACGACCTCAAATGGACGGTCGTTTTGTCCGGATTTTGTCCATTTGCATCGGCAAAATAAAGGTGCGTGTCCGGTTTTCGCTGCCCGCCTATGGGTGCACCCAACGGGCTGGCGCATCGCAAACATGTGCCCGTTTCGAACTTAAATAAAAATGAAAAAAGGGCTCCTAGTGGGGGGCGCCCAAGTGTGTGTGTGTGGGTGGGGGGGGGGACCGACTAGGACTCCTAGTCCTAGTCGGGCCCCCTTCCTTTCTTTCGGAGGAGAAAAATGGAAGGAAAGGGAGAGGGAAAGGGAAAGGGGGCCGCGCCCCTCCCCTTGTCCAATTCGGACTCCAATGAGGGGGGAGGGGGTGTACGCCACTCCTTGTGGGCTGCCCTCTCTTCTCCCCTATGGCCCATGTTGGCCCATAACTTTCCCCGGGGGGTTCCGGTAACCCCTCGGTACTCCGATAAATATCCGGACCACTCCGAAACCATTCTGGTGTCTGAATACTATCGTCCAATATATCAATCTTTATCTCTTCATGATTTTGAAACTCCTCGTTATGTCCGTGACCTCATCCGGGACTCCGAACAATCTTTGGTCACCAAAAACACATGACTCATAATACAAATCGTCATCGAACGTTAAGCGTGCGGACCCTATGGGTTCGAGAACTATGTAGACATGACCGAGACACATCTCCAGTCAATAATCAACAGCGGAACATGGATGCTCATATTGGTTCCTACATATTCTATGAAGATCTTTATCGGTCAAACCGTAATGACAACTTACGTCATTCCCATACTCTAGATTCCGACAGGGAAAGCCAATATCCGCCTAGAACTTGTTAGCCAGCTCCTCATCATTCTTCTTCTGGCGAGCCATGTGCGCATCACGAGAAAACCGTCGAGCGGAGACTCCATCGCAATGGCCTCCGACGCTGCACCCAGGGATGGCACTACCGCCGGTGAACCCGCACAAAATCGTCATCCGCAAGGCAAGGCATAGAAAATGAGACCCATTGGACAGAGGCGCCGGCGATCAGCATGGTCCCAAGGTTAGCCGTGTCGCCTAGGAGCGACCCTTGTGTTTTGGAAAGCGTATTTGGATAGGTTACTGATTCGCAAAAAACAAAAAAGAGAAGCTTTTGTTTGACATGACTGTTATTTGTCGGCGTGATTTTTATGTGTGTGTTGGTGTTAACTGTGTGCATTATAAGTATGCAAAGGCCAGATGTATACTTGTTGTGTTTGTATTTTTTTTATGCTTTATTTTGATCTAATAAATTCACCTTTATCGCAAACCAACATGTGGTTGGATGGTTACGAGGACAGTGGTTACCCCAACCCACTAAAGTTTGAATCCTAGATTTGACATTGCTGCTTGCATTATTCCTGGATTTATTTCACGCTTTCGGCGATGTTCGTTTAGTGGGAGGAGACGTTCATGTCGACTGCGAAGCGCCATGGTGACTTCATTAAATCACAAGATGCAATGGCAGCTCCTTCTCTCGGAGGCGCGCCGATAAGGGTAGGGTATCACGTGCATGCGTTCATAGATTCTTGTGTGTGTGAGCAACTTTAATTGTACTGTTTTGAGAGGAAAAGATCACCTTTGTCAAAAAATAATTTCCCTGGTCCTATCAGTTTCTTAATGAAATGGCAAACGGAGAGCGACAGAGGGAAGAGATAAGCTTTGGGTGGGTCCATGTGAAGTAATGGTGGGATGGCAAGGGAAAACAACAGCGTGGGCGGTCACCTCTCAGCGTTGGATTGGTTTCTCATTTGAGGTTGGATACAATTAGTGCCGCGGGACCGCGGGGCCATGACTAATTAGAGCATGTACAATGGTTGAAAGATAATATTATCTTAAGTCTTGCATGTAATTTAAAGATAACAAAAAAATATGTCTATAATGGATCATCTTTTAGCCTTTATTTTTAATAACTAGTTGTTCCAAAAAACATGATGAGACATACTCCCTCCGTCCCGATTTACTCGTCGTGGTTTTAGTTCAAATTTGAACTAAAACCACAACGAGTAAATCGGAACGGAGGGAGTATATTGTACATCATCTTTTGTCTTTTCTTATGATTTCTCTCTTCTCGATATCATCATTTATCCTACGTGACATTACTAAAATAGAACCATTCTACCTACCCTTAGCGCTCGCCTATCAAATATCAATGCGGACAGTGATACACTATCTGTTGACAGCTTCACAGAAACAGCTAGGACTTGGCACTGCTGCTCCAGGAAAAATCAACAACGCGGTCTTTTAAAATTTGGGTTGACTCTTCTCCTTTTCCGTCGGGAAAGACGATGTTTCGAGGAAACGCTCATCCCGTTCTGTCTCCGGCTGCTCATATATAGTAGAGCTTTGCAGCTTGGTGAGCTCAGAATTCTCTCCATTTCTCCAACACCAAGTCTCTCTCTCTCTCCTCCGCCCCCTCCATCAACAATTGTGCTTCCTGTGCTCCAGCTCCCGCTGGGCTCACAGTCGGGCGCGCTTTGTGTGCTCGAGCTCCACCGTACAAGGTCAGCACCTTCTTCCCCGAAGCACAGATTGTCCATCCCAACTACGGCTGAATTTACAACTTGTCATCTATCTTTCCTACCAACTTTCATCCTCTATTTTTTTTAAGTTCTCATTGGCAAATAGAAAACTTTTTAAAAGTTCTCAAATTATTTCAAAGATTCCCCACAAAAAATTGGTTCACAAAAATATTGTTTTTGGAAAACAAATGCTCCACATGTCACAAAGACTGAAAAAACAACTATGACATGTACATGTCATACATTTATGCACATATGTAATTCTCATGTAAAATATATGTATTTATGCAACCTATGGGGAAAAAATATCTTCTCATACTTACTATCTGGTCACACATGAAATCATTTTAAATATTAGCTATCACAATGATTAACTCTCACATGTATGGGTAATAATTGTTTCCAATTTTCTTGAAAATTTCACACGACAAATTTTCAGTGTTTCTACATATCAATAAACCTTTACTCACAATATGTCCAATTCTCAACAGAAATATGAAAACTAACCATGTTTTACACTTACATATGGGAGAATATTATTCCGCTGAAAGTTACTCATAATCAAAATAGGTTTGCTCTTAGTCTTGCTAATGTGGGGAGATCTGGAGGTAGCACCGGTTGTTGGTTGCACCAAGCTCCAGACTGTGCAAAAAGTTTTGTATTAGCAGACTGTAACACTATTTCTAAGGAATAAAATACCCACTATTTTACCGCAAAAATAACATATGGGGGAATATTATTATCTAGAGTTTGTTTTCTTAGAGAGAATAATATCGTGGGTGATATGTATCAATAACAGAATGAGAGAGGATGATTTTTTTTCTTTTTTACTTGGCCTGTAGAAGTATATTTTTTTTTGAATGCAGATGTGCATAAAAATACAACATGCACATAATTTCTTTTTTTTTTCAAATGCGTAAAATCTATATTTGTTTCTTGAAAACAGTTTCTAGTAATTTGAGGGACGAAATCTGCATGCTCTTATAAGTTGAGCGATGTAAGTTAGTATAAAATTGAGGGACAGAAGTTGCATTTCAGAAATAGTTGTGACAAAAAGCACTTTTTCATATTTGCATACTAACAAAATTGGCACATTTGATTTATATAACTGAAATTTCTATATCTGGATTACCTTTGTTGCTCACTAGCTCCTACTTCCGGCCTGGTTTATTAGCCCCACTCGTATTTAGGGTCATATTTTGACCATGAATTTAACTAATAAAATATATATTTTCCATATCAAATATAATATGAAGGGGACCAATAAACCATGACGGTGGTAGTAGTTTTCATGGAAGAAATATTTCTTACTTTTATACCTTGCTTGCTCTCTTTTTTGCGAATGACCTTGCTTGCTCTTATTACCATTTGATATATGTCAATGAAAACATGCCAACGAATACTGGAGGAACGATATTCAGAGACTAATATCCAACTATCCCGTCTGTAAAGCTTCTGCAAGACTGCAACCCTGTAGCTCCATCGACTGGATTGTTTCACAAGATCCGACTCAATTTAGAAAGAGTTGCCACCCATACTCTAAAGCCAATGGATAAATAATCATACAAAGCATGTGACTACAATGTACCACATGCAGCAATAAATCTTTAGTTTCGATGTGTCATTTGCTTTACCTGCAGTTGGACCGCTTTTCTTATGTGTCGATATTCTAAAGAAATTACAGGGAGGATATTCTTAAATATTGTTTGGGAAAATTTTGTTGTACTCATGAAGTCCCAAAATATACAATGTATTTCATCATTAAGATAAACCTCTTTAATCAGCAATTACTTTATTATTAATATGGAATTTACATAATATAAGATCATATAAATCATAGGTACTTTTGAATGTAATAAAAGTAAATAAAATACTAAAAAATTAATATTATTTCAAAAAACTAAATATTAATATAAATGAAATGAGGAAACCTCACAATTTATATTGCTAGTCTAGTTTGGTCCGACCATTCTATATCTTTATGTGTTACGGGTGGTCAAACTGTCAATGATCTCTTCTTGTATATAGGCACGGTGAAAAAATGGTCGCTGGTGAGAAGCTGCCTGCTTCTAATTTTATTTCAATAATCTCCCTCAGTTCTTGTTGTTTTTCTGATATGAAAATATTTCTGAAGTCTTAAGAGAGGTACAAAGTCGACGTTCTTCAGAGACAAATTGACATGGCGAACAATTTACATCATGTTGTAAGTGCAATGCCAGAGGCCATTTCGTATACATTATTAAAAGAAATTACAAAGAACTTTTCAGATGAGCTAAAAATTGGTGAAGGTGACTTTGGAAAAGTCTACAAGGTATGCGCAATAATTAGATTTTTTTTTCTATTTTTCCTTCTTCTCTGGTGCAACACTATCTGCTGATGGTTGCGCTGCCCTTCCCTTTGCCTCTTTGACATACAGCTACTCTATGTACCCTGATATGCTTTATTAACAAAACTCCCCCACCGTTGTTGTTTGAAAAGATTTTCTGTTTTTCAGATGATAACACTACAAGAAACACAATTAATAGAATTTTTGTTTTGACAGGCAATATATAATGAAGAAGAAATTGCTGTGAAAAGGCTTTTTCTGATATCGGGCCTTGTTGATGAGACAAAATTTAACAATGAACTTCTTAATCTTGTGTGTGTCCAACATCAAAATATTGTCAAGTTAGTTGGCTACTGTTATGCAATACAACGTCAAGTTACTGAATACAATGGAAAACAAACTTTTGCTAATGTGGATGAGAGAGTTCTTTGCTTTGAGTACTTTCCCAGTGGGAGCCTCAAGAAGCATCTCTCTGGTATGATCGTGCTTTACACAGAGTAAATATTTCCAAAGTCTAAATACACATCTTGGTAATACAGCTTTATGTTAACCTCTTCAGATGAATCACGTGAACTTAATTGGTACAGACGTTACAAAATAATTGTCGGGATTTGTGAGGGTCTAAATTTCCTTCACAATGGATCTGAAAGAGAAATTTACCATCTTGATTTAAAGCCTGCAAACATATTGTTGGATGAGAACTGGATGCCAAAAATTTGTGACTTTGGTCTGTCAAGACTCATTAATGATTCAACAAGAAGCTTTAACACAGAACATCTTTGTGGATCACAGTAAGTTCATACCTCATGACTCATGTGATCAGCTTCTTTCATCAATACTGTTAAGAAAATATATAACATTTTTGTACCTTGCAGTCCCTTCATGCCACCAGAATACATAGAGACTGGCGGAATCTCTAAGAAGCATGATGTATTCAGCTTAGGCGTCACAATCATACAAATAATTGCAGGACCTAACGGCTATGGCGAATATGTAGACATGCCTTTCAATAGATTTGCAGAACTTGTACGGACATAATCATCTTATCAAGAATAATGTAGTTGCTTCAATTAGTAATAACATCCTCAGTTGTGTCGTGTTTAAATCCAATTTTGTAGGCACTCTTGAACTGGAGGGGAAGGATAGAGGGAACATCAAAGCACGTGGAAGAATACTGCCAGCAAGTCAAGAAATGTATCACAATTGCATCAGCTTGCGTGGGACATGACAAAGACAAAAGGCCAACTATAGGGTCTACGTTGGAACAACTACAAGCCATAACTCATAGAACAGTAGAAGAAGAAGAAAGAGAAGGAGAACAGGAGCAGTTGGAACAGATAGAAACCACGATTGACAGAACAATAGAAGAAGAAGAAAGAGAAGGAGAACAGGAGCAAAAGAATGTAATTACTATTCTTAGTCTCTTAATTATTTATTCTTCATTCTTTTCACCTTCCAATTTATTTCTTGATTGGTTTACAGTTTCAAGTTGTTAAGTATGGGCCTTGGGGTGGAAATGGCGGAACTGCCCATGACATCGGGGCAGCATCTTCCCTCCGTCTCAAAAGTGTGACAATTCGTTATGGCGATATCATTGATTCACTTACGTTTTCATATAGCGATCACAGTGGGTATGTGCACACCGTTGGCCCATGGGGTGGTACTGGTGGTGCGAACAAATATACGGTGAGTGAGCAAAACTTTTGTTTTAAAAAATTGTATGCACTCAAACTAATAACGAAAACTGAATGTGCATGATTTATTTTTCCTGAGTTATGCAATACATGACTCTTTTAAGTTATACATTGCTGCTTATATATATATATATAAAGTAGCTGACTTGGTACTGTTTTCTATTCTCTTATAGATCAATCTTGATCCAACAGATTTTGTGAAAGAAATTTCTGGCAAATTTGGTCCATATCCCTTATCACATTCCAATGTCATAACATCTCTCAAGCTGGTAACCCATGAGGATACATATGGCCCTTTTGGATTTGTAGAAGGAACTCCTTTTTGCGGCACATTGGAAAGCGGATGGGCTATAGTTGGCTTCTTTGCACGTGCGGAGAGGTATGTTCATAAAATTGGTGTGTATGCCAGACCTTTGACGCTTGATGCAGAAGGACTGACAGTGGCCACAACACCCGGCACCTCCGGTGCAACCACAAGTAAATTATTCTCTCCATTATTGCATATTGTCAGCCGTTCACAACTTCATAGAACCCCACCAATGCATGCATCATTTTTTTTCTAGAACTACCCCTACATGACACATAGTTTTTATTCAAGTAGCTATTTTTTTGGCACATACCCAATAGTACTTTTTTTTATTTTGTTTCAGAAGAAGAAAATGGTCAAGAAGGTGATTCAACGGTGTATGTTCCAAGGCATTTCTCCATTTTTGATAAAGCGTGTTTTTATTGAATCATAATGTAGCATTAAGGCAATACATTCATGATAATGCACAATCTACGATATGTTAGTACTAACTTCTTCACAGTGATACAACCTATTAGTTCATCATCATCAATCTCCTTGCTAATCTAAATTATGCTCAATCTAATTTCATTGGAGATATATTCCTAAAAAAACACATTCCTTTATGCAAAGAATCTTAGCAATACATACCAATCTCGACTATCTTGCTAGATCCACCCATTATATGATCCACCTATTATAGATCTATGACTCTGACATTCACCATGTACAATGGCCATATGCTTGAGTGTTTCCATCGTGAAATTTCATTTTATATAATAAACTTGCTATATTTTCCAAGTTGATGCATATGATGTTTATTTTACGCACATGTTTTGAGGTGGTTTAATCTGTCCCTTGAAGCAGAGACTGTGACATGGCTAGCAAATTGCAAAATATAACAAGTCTAACGCTCCGAGTATTACAAGAAATCACAGATAATTTCTCCGAGAAGAGGAAAATTGGTCAAGGCACGTAGGAAAGGTCTATGTGGTAAGATTCAGAATACACATTATGCTTACACTAGTAGAAAAAGGACCTAATGTGAGACACATTAGTCCCGGTTCGATTTTGGCCCGGTACTAATGGTACCATTAGTGCCGGTTCAAACGGCTATGCATTAATGCCGGTTCGTTTTGAACCTTTAGTACCAGTTCGTGCCACGAACCGGTACTAAAGGGGTGGTGGCAGGCTGCCGTCAGGTCGGGGCCCCGCGATCACCTTTAGTATCGGTTCGTGGCACAAACCGGTACTAAAGGGCTAACCTTTAGTATCGGTTCATGCCACGAACCGGTACTAAAGGGGTTTGACCTATAGTCCCGGTTGGAGACACAAACCGGGACTATAGCGCAATTTTCAAACTCTACCCCCTCGTATATCGTCATTTCAGTTTTGAAAAATACAAAAGAAAATGATAAAAAAAATTCAAAAAATAAAATTCTTTGAGATGTAGTTATATTACTACATCTACTAGTTAGGAAAATGTAAAACGGCTATAACTTTTGCATACGATGTCGGAAAAAAACGTATAATATATCAAAAAATTCAGCACGAAAATGCGCATCCAATTTTGACAGCCTATGTCTTGTTTGCAATTTTTTAGAATCCTCAAATTCCAAAAGGAAAAAAGATATGCTCAAATTTCAGTTTTTTTTTTAATTTTCATTAAATCTGGTCAAACTATAGTCAAACTACTTATTCAAGAAGTACTAATGTTGCTACATAATTATTCAAGAATTAGTGTTACTCAATAATTATTTCAATTTTTTGAATTTTGGTCAATTTTGGTCAAACTATGGTCAAACTATGGTCAAACTGTGGTCAAACTTATTCAAGAAATATTAGTGTTACTAACTGTTTTTTAGAATAATAGTTCCAAACTCAAACGGTGAAATGTGTGACCTAATGCTCAAGCTAAACTGCTGAGGGTTAATAGGATTGACAGCTTACATTTGTTAGGAAAACAACAAGTGCAGACTTGGAAAGTAGGGGCAATAGAACTCCGAAGTTAAGTGTGCTCAGGCTAGGGGAGTGAGAGGATGGGTGACCGGCCAGGAAGTTAGACGATTTGGAATGAGTGATCCACACTTGAGCAGTTAAGATGGGTGATTAGAGATTAAATCATCAAATAATTCAGAAAATTGAAAATTGAAAAAAAATCAAATATTTTTTACAAAATTTAAAAATAAATCAAAAAAAATACCTTTAGTACCGGTTACACCAACCGGTACTAAAGGTCCCCCATACCACGGCGCGAGCTCAGGCCACGTGGTGGGCCTTTAGTGGCGGTTCGTGCCGAACCGGTACTAAAGGGGGGGAGCTTTAGTCTCCACCCTTTAGTGCCGGTTGCAGAACCGGCACTAAAGGCCCTTACGAACCGGTTTTAAAGCTCCGGTTTCTACTAGTGTTAGTTGATTTGTATCTCGTCAATATGTGCGTATATATATGGAAGATAGTTTCGAGTACTTTGTTAAACAATAGGAATGGAAGCACCAACTTAACTGCTTGATTTTACATGAGTTCCATAACCACGCTCAATCTAGACTTCACTTGCTTCAATAAATTGGCCCAATCCACATGGTGGTTTAGACCTCCTAGTACTTGGAAAAGGCCAAGATAGCATCCAGGACTTTTGACTACTCTGCAAGAGTGGTGCATGTTCACACCTAGACTAAGCAGGCTTCCTCCAAGTTAGACGCATTGCAGAGGAAACTAACTTATTCGTGATCTTAAGAACTACAAGCATTCTCTTTGTTGTGATGTTCTTTATAAAGTTTTTGTATGGGTTGGTTGTTTGTATGTGGGACCGATTGTGTCTTTGTTGTTGTGGTTTTTGTGGGGGTGGCCGTAGTGCAACATCCATCTGATTGCTAGTTGATTATATAAAGTTAAAGAACAAAGTATTAAAAACCCTAAACTATAAAAACAAATATAATTAGAATGACAAAATACAATAGTGGATCTCAATTGCATAGAGAAGAAACAAATCACAAAAGAAATAAAGCTTATTGATTGAATTATATGGTTTGGAGTTAAACTTACTTGCCATTTTATCGTACTACTGTTTGTGGTCCAGCCATCGACAAATAACTCAAACAAGAGTGAATCACTCCTTGAAATGGGTAAATCATAGTAATTGATTTCCCAACTGCAATACCTTAAATAAAATCCTATCCATAAAGTCTAGGGAGCAAGAATTAGACAAGATAGATACATACATTTGAGAGATTAGCGACCTGCCGTACTTCGGCAACTGGCCGAGAAGACGAGGCCGACGCCACAATGAACAAGTGCAGGAGGCGAGGATGCAACTATCAGATCGAGCAATCAATTCATGTGCTTACACGTCACTAGCCTCATGGGCCAAACCCGCACCCGCGTGCGTGGACGTTGTGAAGTAGCTAACTATGTGACTCACCTCAGGCAACATTGTGTATCCGTGAGAACATTAGTAGTATGGGGTCAGGAACTGAGGAACTACCTTCTTTATTTCTGTGTTATGTTATTCAGAATAAGTAAAGTTTAATTGTGTGCAACTTGTTGATGACTGTGAATAAAGGTGCTTATAATAGATTTTTAACAGGTAGAGCTTGAAAATGGAAAAGAAATTGCTGTGAAGGTGCTTTACAATAACATGCCAAAGATTGATGATGAACAATTCCAAAGTGAGTTCGAAAACCTTATGAGGCTCGAGCATCACAACATTGTAAGGTTAGTTGCCTATTGCTATGAAACACAACATCAACCTATGCAGTACGGGGGAAGAACAGTTTTTGCTGAAAGGACATACAGAGCGCTCTGCTTTGAGTATATGCAAAATGGAAGCCTTGAAAAACACCTTTCTGGTATGATCTTGCTCTATTCTTCTCCTCTTTTTTCTTCAAGAATATGGTGCTCTACTTGCTTTTTGCTGCTTACCGTGTGAATAAAAATGATTTTGTATATTTGTATTTCATACATGTGTTCTTTCCTAAATTGCAGACGAAGGTGATAGACTTGACTGGCATACATGTTACAAAATTATCAAGGGTACATGGAAGGGTTTAAAGCACCTTCATGAAGGATTCGATCAACCAATTTACCATTTGGACCTAAAACCAAGTAACATATTGTTAGACAAGAACATGGTGCCAAAGCTTGCGGATTTTGGTTTGTCCAGGCTCTTCGGTGATAAACAAACCATAATCACACAAACTCCTATAGGAACAATGTAACTTAATTATTGCGCCTTTTTTAAAATAAATTTCTTTCATAATATGCATAACATGTTCAATTACTAGATATTAATATTGTATATATTTGGCCATGCAGTGGATATGTGCCGATGGAATTCTTACATGGAAACATCGTGTCGAACAAGTTTGACATATTCAGCTTGGGTGTTGTAATGATAAAAATAATTGCAGGCAATGGAGGCCATTCTAGAAGTGTCGAAATGCCTCTCCGTGAGTTTTTTGATATGGTAAGAAATGCTATCTTTTCACTTGGAAAAGTTGATGTTATTTTTTATTACTTGTTTTTCACTACTCACTCATATTGAAAAATATAGGTTTTTTTACCCAACACTATAGAACAATTGTTCTATGGTAAATATATTAAAATAAATATAGTACAAAATAATACACACACCCAAAGGGATGAACTTCAGCTAAGGAGCTAGCCAATGCCTGCTCTGGGAATGAAACTCATGTTTACAGATTATGATCTATCCACTGAGAGAACCGAACTTCAAACTTTTGCTTGATCTTGTGTCTGAGGAGCTTTAAGTCTTGCTTAAGGTGGAATCTCCAAGATTGGATCGAATGTGGAATTGCTCTGAAAACTTTACCATTCCTCTACATCCATATGTTCCAACAACCGAGAATGATGATCTCAACTGCAAACTGATTTGGCAAGAGCTTTATGGCCAGGGTGGTATCCTCATAAACTGATGTGCCTCTATTTCTATTTGGAATCAAGAGTTCCAACATTCCTGCAAAGTTGCAGTCCCATAATAAGTGCATAGTTCTCTCTTCTGCCTGTTGGTTACAATTAGGGCAATAAATGTCATCTAGTTTCATGCCTTTTCTGAGTAGGAGAGCCCTAGTGTTGATTCTACAATGAGCCACTAGCCAAAAGAATATTTTGTGCTTGAGTCTGCTTGAACTGTTCCAAATAATGATTAAAAGGGGATGCTCTTCATGCTGTTCCAGAATCTGATTATAGATGTGGATTGTTGATGGCCTGCCAGCAGCCCCAACGATGCTCCATTTATCCTCTCGTTTGGATGTATAGTGGGTGCCAGGGCTTAAAGTTGATTAAATTCCTCATATGCTTCAATAGAGAGAGGCATGTGAAAGTGCTCAGTCCAATCATGCTCTCCATAAAAATCTAGAAAATATTGTTCATCATTCACTGCAAAGGAGTGAAGATGTGGAAGGGTAGATTGTAGGTTATGACCAGTCCAATTATCTTTCCAAAAGAGCACAGTTTGTCCAGATCCAATGGTGCACCTGCTAATCTGCTTAAACCTGTCTAGGAGGCATATGTGAGATTTCCACCAGAAAGAACCTTCAGCTTTTCCTTTTGGTGCTTCTGTATGATAATATTTCTCTCAGATCAGCTTAATCCAAGGTATATCTTCTTTGTTAAGGAACTTGAAGAGGTTTTTCATGAGGAGAGCCTTATTGTGGAGAGCAATATCAATTATACCAAGGCCCCCTTGCTTCTTTGGTAGACATACCTTGGACCAAGCAATTAGAGTTGTCCCTCTATCTTCCATGCCAAATTTTCTCCAGAGGAAATTTCTCAAGTACTTGTTGAGTTGTATCCATTGAATCACTACTTAAGTGTGTTACTTTCCTCTGTGCTTTAATCAGTTTCCAACTAATGTACTTTGTACATCACCGTGGGCTTGCATTGAGTACTCAATTAATGCATTTTTATCGATGTGTAAACTATGTATTATAGTCTCATGTGGAGTGTAAAATCCTTCCATATTCATGTTTCAATTACATAGGTACGAGAAAAGTGGAGGGGTAGGATGCTGGAAACATGTCTAGCTTCAAAGCCACTGGAAGCATATTGCAAACAAGTTAATGTATGCACTGAGATTGCACTAAGTTGCATGGATATTGATAGACACAAAAGGCCAAATATATCGGATATAATCAATCAACTGAATGGCACCGAAGATGTGGTCAACA